GCTGGGCGGTAACCACAATGCATCGGCCAACATTCGACTGTCTAGATTAATAATGACCACAATCAACTGTGCCGTGTGTGGGGTTATTCATCAGGTATACACAGTTGGAGTCCCACTGGTTCGAACCCAATCTCTCCATCTACCGAGATTTGAACAGCCAAGTGTGGCTTATTAACAGCAGCAACTGCATGAAATTACAATTGGTTATTGTATTACATTTCACATTTCGATATAATGGTGAAGATTTGTAGCTTAGGTGGGTGATTTTGATGTCACTGTGCTTGTGGAATACTAGGCTTCCAGAAATTTCTGGCGTTCTTGGTGTTTCTTTTTGCTAATATCTGAACATTGTCCCAGGAAAATTAATGTCCATGGTTGTCTGTATGCAGCAGTGTGAAGGAGTGGATATCATGTGTTTTTGACGGCTAGGTTGTGTTCATGGATGCGAATATGTAGAGGGGGGGGAGTGGTGTCCACTTTGGCCAATGTAGTGTTTTTTCGAAGTCGTTGCAATTTATTCTGTATATGATTTTGGTTTTGTCATTCTCCAACGGTTTATGTTTCTGTTGATTTATTCAAACTTGTAGCCGATAGGTCACTGGTTCGAGTCCCGTCTCACTCTTTCGGCTTGGGCAACTGGATATGCCGTAGCCTTCCGTCGACAAAGGTGGCTCCTAGCCTGGTACATGAGATATCTATTTTGGGGAAATTGAGTTGAAACAACAGTGAAGATCAGTTGGCCAGTAAAGATTTAGCAACAACGAACTAACCAGAAACCAGTTGCCCAAGGAAGATGCCGAAGACCATGGCGATGAATCGGACCCACACTGAGGGGACTATTGAGTGACATTAGTGTCAGGCTTTCTCTCGAGTGAGACCCAAATGTGTAACGACGAGTTAGACGTGTATCGGAGGGCAACATGGAGGTCATGACATCTTATGGGCAGTTGTGTGGCGCCAGCTAAATACGCCGACAGAGAATAGGATAGAATGTAAGTGTGCTATGCTGCATTGAAAACCCAAGAGACTAATAATAAAGTGAGTCACACATGATGTGATGGCGTAACGGTAGAAGACAAGAGACTTGGTAAAAGAATGTTTATTTATTTGGAATTTGGTATCGCTATATAGCGAAATTATGTACACCTTATCTTCAACGCACCACTTGCAAAGATCTTCCGTGTTGTGCTACTTCTGTCCCTCGCTCATATTGTGTTTCTGTGTGTTCCTTTCACGTCTTCCATGTATCTGCGCAACGTTGAATCATTTACTTTCTCTTAATTCGTATGTATCTCCCTGATATTTGATGTTTTATGCTGATGATCGTCTCTTTATATACTACTGATAAATCTTATCAGTAGTACACGCCATCGACAATTATACATCTCATCCAACAGTTATACGACAATGCTGCATCCCAAGTAATCCACAACGGGACACTTACGGAAGCCTTCGAAGTGAGAACGGGAGTGAGGCTAGACTGTCTACTATCGCTAATGATCTTCCTGATTGCAGTAGATTGGATAGTGCGACAGACAACGGGCCAGGGGCAGTGAGGAAACAGGCATAAAATGGACTCACACAAAAAACTTGGAGGATCTGGACTTCGCCGATGACGATATATATCTGATTTCCCACAAACACCGGAAGATATGCGAGTGAAAAGCAACAAGTTGGCAGAAGAAGCATCAAAGATAGGACTTCAGGTGAAGATAGACAAAACAGAGGTGATGAAGATTCCTAGACAACAACAACAGACAATAATCAACCAGCATAAATGGGAGGAACCTGAAAGAAACAACCTCCTTCACCTACCTACCTACCTACCTACCTGGGAAGCATCGTTTCAACTACAGGTGGACGGAACTGACGAGGATATCAAATCGAGGATCGGAAAAGCAAGACAAGCTTTCATCACTCTCAAGTCTGTGTGCAGGAGGTCAACAGCACTACTCACCATCAAAAATAACATCCGGATTTTCAACTCCAATGTGAAGTCAGTCAGTGCTATTTGCTATACGGATCAGAGACTTGTCCAGCGCGTCATAAAGAGCATCTCAAACAAACTACAGGCCTTCATTAACAGTTGTCTTCGCTCAACACCACTCAAGATCAGATGGCCGACCAGGAAAGATCAGCAAGAGGGATTTTTTGCGATGAGCGAACCAAACTGGAACCGATTGTGAAACAAATAGGCAGGAAGAAATGGAGATGGATTGGCTGGCCATACTCTGAGGAAACCATCAAGTGAATGACATCACTAGACAAGCTCTCGAGTAGAACCCGAAGCGATGAGTTGGTCGTCAGTGCAAGGATGACTTGGAGGAGGTCATGTGGAGGGGAGATGAGAGCATGTGGCAGAATCGGAGCGAGGTGAAGACGTTGGCAGAAAACAGAAGGCAATGGAGATGCGCTGCTGAAGCCCTATGTTCCTCTAGGAATTAAAGGATATAATAGTAATAATAAAGTAGGTCACGCCACAAATGTTGGAATCCCATTCCACCTACTTCAGTTTTAACAAATGAGTATTAGCATTGTCAGTCTTCACACAATCATTGTGGTTGGATAACCCCTAGTACATTAACATCTATTCCAGTTAACTAAGTTCAAGCAAGTAAGATGTGCCATAAGACTCGTGTAGAGGTGAAAAAAAATTAGGTTTGGATCACGAGAGTAAATTTTTACCCTTACATGAATAATGTAAGAGTATCGTTTTCCCAAGATGTGCCTCTACTCTTTGTTTATCCTATATCTTCAACAAACAGTCTTAACTTTATCTAAGATTTACTGCCATTCGAACTCTATTTTAGCAATAATAATTTTTATTATTATCCTGAAAAGTTAGAGCAATGTGTGTGTGCATTATAGATGGGCGAAAGAAAGAAGAAGAACTAGGGTTGTAACTATGCTGATACTAGGCATCATTGTTCATTTGTGCTAAAACAAGTTAATTAGACGCATTCTTAACCATTGAATTCTTTATTAGCAATAATATAATATCTGAAGAATCTCTAAAGGATGCTATTTTAGAGAAATATTTTGTGTCTGTCTTCTGACTCTCTTTCTCTATCCCCACCCCCATCCCACCTTACTAACCCCGTCAGCAATTTCAGCAGTCATGTGATAACAGATTTCAAACCATTTCTGGTAAAGTTTAATAATTAATTACAAATAGTTTTTTCATTGCTATTTGTTTAGTATTTTTTGTATGTGTATGAGTTGTTCTCCTTAGAAATGTTATAGTGTGTGTGTGCGTATGTGAGTGATGCTATTTAACTAAAGTTATTCTGACCCCACCTGGTGTGCATATTTGAAGTCAGGTGTGTTTCTGAATAACTGACTAATACAAGGACAAGGTACTCTCTTTATTATAGAATACCCTTTACTCCCTGGCCAGAGTCAGTCACATTTGCTTATTCATGCAATCGGCCACGATCTATATGCAAAATAATAAGTTTGATTTATTGTATTTTAGGACCAAGGGAAATAGTATTTGCATGTGAATGTCAAGACAGAGTTGTTTTGTAACTTTCCAGCATCTTGATTCTTACATCATCAGATCTTCTCTTTATCATGTCGGACATATAATCTTCAAATGGGTTACATTCGGTCTGTGTATGTTGGGATAGGTTATTTTCGATTACTAGAAGAGACGTGCTTGTATGGCATCAGTCAAATTCAGCATACAGCGTTTAAAGAGTTCGACCATTGGGTTAAGTGTGATTGCGGCGAAAAATATATTTTCCAGTAAAATTCTGGATATTCACCATTTTCAATACAGCTTTTGTGAATATCAATATTTTTCATAGTTGGTTTGTAAGGATTAGTTTTGTTTTTACGAGTTGATCACGGATTGATATGAGTTAGAGAACCATTGAAAACCAACAGGGAGTACTGGACAGCTGTTTCATGGATGGATGTCCCACTGACGGCTTGGGTTGGTGGTGGTCGTGTTAAATCACGAATTGGTAGAAGTTAGAATTCATGAACCATCGAATCGGGTCCCAGTGGCTTGCCTTGTAACCGGAAGGTCTTTGGTTCGAACCCCAGTGGCTGTGTACTGCCGATGATTCCAAAACTAGGATGAAACAGCTATCCAGTATCAAGATTACCGTTCTCTTCTGCAGGCTGGACAGAATATCGTAGTAACTCACTAAATCCCTTCACTGTCTGTGGGTCTTTGCATTTCTTCAAATCACGAGATTCATAAGGAAATATTTCTTTTCAACGACTTCATTTCCGAACAGCAGTACAGTTGTATTTATATTACGGAAAAGAGATATTAAATGGCACTAGAAATTGTTCAGTTGACATACATGCGATAAGAATAGAGAAAATTAAAATGATTTATTAAGGGAGTGCAGTTGAGGTGGATGAATTGCAAAAATTTTAAACATTATTAAGTAAATGAACTGGTTATAAAGATTTTAAAATTGTAGGTCAAGTGTTGTTTAAACAATCAAGAGTACCCTGGTGATAACGGTAAAGATGGCGAATATGAAGTGTGAAGTGGTAAAAGAGAATAAAATACAAGAATATGACTATGACTTGGAATATGCAGACGATATAGTCCTAGGCGAAGACGCTGACGAAATGCAGAGTCTTCTAAACACCTTGAGCCGCAATCTACGAATGTTTGGCATGCGATTCGCTCCCGCCAAATGCAAGATGATGTTACAGGACTGGACTACATCGACGCCTAGTTTAAAAATAGGAAGTGAAGTGGTCGAGCACGTTGACCGCTTCACTTATTTGGGAAGTACCATCAGCCCCAACGGGCTGATCTCTGACGAAATCTCAGCACGAATACAAGGGGCTCGTTTCGCATTTGTTAGTTTACGCCGACTCTGGCGTAGACGAGATGTTCGACTATCGACCAAAGGGCGGGTGTACTGCTCATCAGTCCGCTCCGTCCTCCTTTATTGTTGTGAGACCTGGTCACTGAGAGTGGAAGACATGAAAAGACTAGCTGTCTTTGATCATAGGTGCCTGCGTTCTATTTCCTGTGTGAAGTGGCATAATAAGGTGAGCAACATGGAGGTTAGGCGTAGAGTTCTAGGTAAACAGGGGAATCAATCGACGGAGTCGTGGAGCTACATCGACTGAGATGGTTAGGACATGTGTTACGTATGCCAAGCCATCGCCTCCCTCGACGAGCAATGTTAGCGGATATAGGGTCAGGCTGGAAAAAAGCTAGCGGCGGTCAAACAAAAACTTGGCACCAGTCAATGAAATCCACAACAATTGGTCTAAGCCACGTAGAAAGGTGTAGACTTCCAGGCTGGGGTCCTCGGGACGGTAAAAATCTATGGTTGGAAACAATTGGTGACATGGCTCAAAACCGTTCTCAGTGGCTAGCGCAGATGCATCCACTCCCTGTGACTTATGATCTTCAATGAAACTGTTTTGTATTTCTTTATTACTCCTTTGTCTCACACCTTTGCTCACTGTTTCTATTATGCTTTTCTTGTACTTTCTTCTCTTGCTTCGCGTGCTACACGGAATGTGGCGACTTGAACTTCCGCACATTTGTGCAAAGTTCTATGTCGAAAACAGACAGACAGACATGACCAAGGTAAAGAAGTGGGTTTAACAAAACGTTTTTGAACCCAATTTAATTTTCTGTTCATGTTTAGCAGCTAGAGTTTTGGTTATGCTTAAGTGAAGAAGACATAAGTTTTTAGAGTGGTTGGATTTGATCACGTAAATAACTTTGAAGCATAAATCACGTGGGGCTGAATGACCTAACTCCAGAAGGTGTTCACAAATTGAAGGCTTCCTCGTCCTATGCTCACCTTTCATTAACCAAACTAGGTAGTGTTCAGTTAAGCGTTTACGAAGAACATGTTTACAACGCCCAATGTAATTAGTTCCACACGTGCATTTGAATGAGAATAGATACACATAGAAGTAGACATAAGCGGTAGTTTATCCTTGACGTTGAATAAATAAACCATGTTAGCAATAACCTATCAATGGCGAGAGTCAGTAGAATATGACCGCTCCTTCTGCAACACGAAGAGGCTTACGATTGAACGGACATGGAAAACATCCAACAAGCTATTACGCCCCCACCTTGATGAAGATACAAAATTATAACTTAAGAAAAACAAATAGCTAGATGAGTATCTGAGTCTAACAGCGAAACTCATCGTGGGCGACAAAAGTGGAAGAGATGGAAAAGGCATCGGCAATGGTGAACGCCAGATAACTATTTAGGCTTGTCAGGGAACTGGGTAGCTAAATACAAATGATAAGTGAGACAATCTCCGAGGGAAATGACGCCCTAATCAGCTGTCTGGATTGGCTACTGGAAACTTCAAAGGAACAAGTTGAGGAGCAATTAAACTGACTTACATCCACGGTTCAATCGACCAGCATCCAAAATCTACTTGAATGCGATGTAGACATAGGTCTCTCATCTGTAAATGAGGTGGTGAGTGACTCCAGATAAACTGTGGTCTGGGTTAACTAAGATGTTAGGTAATGTCCGGGGATCAGGGATATTTCCGTTAGATTGGTGTAAGTTGCTGATTATCCCAGTTTATAAGAAGACAGACAAGTCTTCCTTTGATAATCATAGGGGGATAAGCGCACACATACATCGAGGAGAGTGTCGAATGCCACTGCGCTCCAGGTTATTGCTCAAGTGGGACTCAAATGTGAAACTACTAGTTGGGAGTGTGTCCGAGAGTGAGGAGGAAATGACAGGTTATGGGGAACCCTGGGGCAGGCTAAAGAGGACAAAATGGAGACGTGCTGTTGAAGCGGTATGTTCCACCGTGACACCTATACGCATAAGAGAAATTGCACTCTCTAGTCGATTTTATGCGCATGTCTTAGTTTGTTTTGATACGGTGAAGGGGACTGGATCGATAATAAATAGTTATAAAAGGTATTGTTTACCCTCAATAAATAAATATAAACAATAAATAAACAACGTCAACTATTGATGTACTAGGCTTCAAGCAACTGTCCAGGATTTAGATCACCTCAATCTGATTAGCGTCCACTACTGGTCGATATGAATAGTTTCCAACCAGTCATGTCAATCAATCAGCATGTTATTATTATGGTATTATTATTATATCCTTCAATTCCTAGAGGAACATAGGGCTTCAGCAGTGCATCTCCATTACCTTCTGTTTTCTGCCAACGTCTTCACCCTGCTCCAATTCTGCCCATATGCTTTCATCTCCCCTCCACATGACCTCCTCCAAGTCATCCTTGCACTGACGACCAACTCATCGCTTCGGGTTCTACTCGGGAGCTTGTCTAGTGATGTCATTCACTTGATGGTTTCCTCAGAGTATGGCCAGCCAATCCATCTCCATTTCTTCCTGCCTATTTGTTTCACAATCGGTATCTGCTGTGTTGGTTCGCTCACTGTCAGAGATCCCTGTTGCTGATCTTTCCTGACCGGCCATCTGATCCTGAATGGTAGTGAGCGAAGACAACTGTTAATGAAGGTCTGTAGTTTGTTTGAGATGCTCCTTATGACGCGCTGGCCAAGTCTGTGATCCGTATAGCAAATAGCACTAACTGACTTCACATTGGAGTTGAAAATCCGGATGTTATTTTTGATGGTGAGTAGTGCTGTTGACCTCCTGCACACAGGCTTGAGAGTAATGAAAGCCTATCTTGCTTTCTGATTCTGGCTTTGATATCCTCGTCAGTTTCGCCCACCTGTAGTTGAAACGATGCTTCCCAGGTAGGTAGGTAGGTAGGTAGGTGAAGGAGGTTGTTTCTTTCAGGTTCCTCTAATTTATACCGGTTGATTATTATCTGTCGTTTTTGCTGTTGATGTTGGCCAGGAATCTTCATCACCTACCTCTGTTTTGTCTATCTTCACCTGAAGTCCTATCTTTGATGCTTCTTGTGCCAACTCGTTGCTTTTCACTTGCATATCTTCCAATTTGTGGGAAATCAGACAAATATCGTCATCGGCGAAGTTCAGATCCTCCAAGTTTTTTGTGTGAGTCGATTTTATGCCTGTTTCCTCACTGCCCCTGGCCCGTTGTCTGTCGCACTATCCAATCTACTGCAATCTGGAAAATCATTGGCGAAATCAGCATGTTGGGAATAATCAATTTCATTTCTGTAGTACTCTACATCAGTGTGAAGTGAATTCTATCACTCAGATTTGCAAGGTGGTCGTCACTGGGTAGCAGGTTACTTGTCATCGGTTTGTAATTCACATTGTTTTTAGGTGATTAGAGGTAATCAGTAGGAACCTCTGGATTTAAGTGTCATGATGGTTGGCACTGGAATCATTGGTGACTGACTACATTACAAGCTTGACAGATAGAAAATCCTGTCAGCACTGAAACAAAGAAAAGTCACATTTTTCAAATACATTTTACTGGTCAATCGATGTATTCATTACAGGTCTACAGAAGGTCATCTGTGAGCCCAAATAACTCAGTGGCAACGTCGATGATGACTTCTATCCGAGGTGAAAATCACTAAGGGGTCATCGGACTCTTCGAGATTGCATAATATGCTTCACTGAAGAGTCGCCGCAAGTATGTCACCTAGGTCAGACAGGGTTTCCTATCGATTGCATCTAGCCACTTAATAACTACTGTTACTATTGATTAATATTATCTATTTCGGGAATATCAATCTTTGCAATATACCACATATATACACAGACGAACATGTGAAATGATTATTGAATAAAAAAATATTTTAATCGATATTTATTGATTAGATGTGTTAAGTTGTCAGTAGAATAAGTTAGACTATCACTCTGGTATGTATGGTATGTCATACACTTTGATTTGATGCTTTATGTCTGAGGAGGATAGATCTAAAGGATCTAAGCTTGGTAAATTTCACCAGTCTCCCAGTCATCTATCAACAGGAGGCAGTCATTTGTTATTAACTGGTGAAAACACGAATACTGTGAATTTAATACACAATGAGGATAATAAATTTTAATCTAGATTTCGCTATGAATTGAAATCAGTTTGAGGATCATTGAAGGCCAAGGAGTGTCAGACAGCTGTTTCGTCCCAGTTTGGGATTCTTCATCAGTACGCACTTGCTAACCAACCAGAGATGGGATCTTGGGTATTCAAATTACGAGATCATTCTGTTGACCACTGGGATGGAATTCGATAGTCTCGCGACAAATGGCGCCCCTGTCGGTAACGACTTCTCACTAGAATTTTAACATATTCATTCAATAGTTATTACTAAGCTAGAAATTGATATTCAGCTTCAGGATTGCCATGGGATTTTGATTAGTTCCGATGGACTTCGTCACGAAGTGATATCTAGAGAATTTATTTACAAACTGCTTGTTGGAGTTATGGTGTCTGAACTAGTATTTTCATTTAGCTCATTAACTGGATCCACACATTTTATTGACAGGATGAAGTTCTTCTGAGGATTCATGACTAATGGTATGCACTAAGTTGGATGTGAGGACAGATTCTCGACATCCCGATGACATCTACTGACTGTAGCGCTATATATATATCTCTGATTGGCAGAAATTTGGAGATAACGGGCCACTGGATTTTGTCCTAAAAGGTTTGGATTCGATCTTTGAAGGTTTCATGACTACGTAGACCTGAAGAGTTCTAAATTAAGACGAAACGTCCTTCGACCGGTGTCATTTCGTGATCTAACTTGAAATAAATTAAACTCCTGCAAACAAGTACTTGAACACATCTTTGGATATGAAGCTAAGAGGCTATAACACTGAGTTTCATTGGCTGAATGACAACATCTTCATTCCGCGTGAGGTTACACTATATAGAGTTCCCAAAGCAAAATGAAATACTCTTACTTTCCAGTGGTTCTTTGAATTATGTCAATCTATAAGGAAAAGAGTTATTTTTTAATATTCGAGTATTGTTTTGTAGGGATTTGATTGGTTATAGGATTTCATCATGAGCTGACATTAGTTGGAGAACCATTGGAAAACCGCCAGGGAGTACTGGACAGCTGTTTCGTCCTAGTGTGGGACTCTTCATCAGTACGGGTCCCAGTGACTTAATCGTCTACACCGGACCTGCTGCCGATATACGTATGAATATTCAGTTAACTGCATTCAGTAATCTAATTTCCTTGATTAAGTAACCACTTTTCGGATTTAAAAACGCCTTGGCAACCTGTTTGAAAGTTGGACTGCCTATTCACCCATCTACATATTGCATCTGATTTATTGTATTTCATTATTTATTTATTAAAATATGACGTCAAATCGTATCAGAGTTCATAAAACATTTAAAACCAAGTAACTGTCAAGATTATAAGAAGGTTAAGAAAAAGTATCATGGTGGATGGCAGTGTGCTCTGAAACGGACACTTTTCTATCGAATTACTGTCCCTGTTATCGTTAATACAAACTGTCGTTCTCTTCTCAATATGATTATGCATTTGCAATCTCTCCTATCATCTGTTACTTATTTACAAAAATGACTATAATCACACTACAATATAAGCATGGCTCCATGAGCTCTG